GGCTTGTGACTCCTATAATGAGCCTAATGTGCCTTTTTCTGCCTGATAGAGTTATGATTGTGTGATGATGGTAGGCGGCACCTCCAAAATAACTGGATTCTGGAAGGTGGAAGACTGTAACTCAAAACACAGTTTCATCTGCAAAAGAAACATTGGTGAGTAAGATAATAGCAAGGTCACATTATTATGACTTGGACAATTATCAATTATCAGCTTCTTCAGCTGAATGATTTTGTTGCTTCTTGTTTACAAAGATTCTCAGATTATAGTCCCACCCACAACTATGTCACCAAAGGCTTTCTACAAACTTGGCAATGACTCCTACAAACTGGTGGCCCAGAAGATGAGATGGGATGAGGCGAGGAGGCAGTGCCAAGCAGACGACGCAGATCTGGCCAGTATCCTGAATCCTGTGAGCCAGGCGTACATTACCTTGCAGATATCCAAGTTCAACGAGCCTGTGTGGATTGGCCTCAACAGCAATGTGGTAAAGGGCCTACATATTATTGAATACCAGTAATTCAGACAAGGCTTCAAATTGAGACAAGGACCTTTTAGCTCCGTATAAACTTCCACTAATGCAAGTTTTTCTTTTTCAGACTGGTGGGCGTTTCAAGTGGGTTGATAACTGGCCTTTGTCTTTTACCAAATGGGGCACAAATGAGCCTAAAAATAACTACGGCTGTGTGTATATGGATGTGGACAGAAAATGGAAGACTGCACCTTGTACCGATACCCACTATTCCCTTTGCAAGAAGTCACCAGGTCAGACAATTCTTGTTTGTTCTCTTGCACTATACTACACGTAACCAAACTGGGTGGTTAGATGGTTAGCCATGCGATCTTGTGTCTCTTTTTCAGACGTAGCACCCACCGAGCCCCCACAACTCCCGGGAAATTGTCCCGAACCAAAAAAGCGAAAAACCTGGATACCTTTTAGAGGCCATTGTTATTCCTTCCTCAGCTCATTGGTGGACAACTGGGCCCATGCCTCAGTTGAATGTCTGAAAATGGGTATGTTATAAAGAATTTCCACAAATAAATTATAATTTGCATATATGAATTCTTGACATTGTGCTATTGTGGCTCATCAGGTGCTTCTCTGGTGAGTATTGAGGACCCTCAGGAGGGTGCGTTTATACAACAGAACCTGGAGCTTCTACAGGACAGTGCCAAGTCCTTCTGGATCGGCCTCTACAAGACTCATGAAGGTGAGCATGGCTTACCCAAGTTAAATTCAGCCTCAGTGTCTAACAATTCCCTTTTCCAATATATATAAAGAAGTCGAACGCTGTCAATGTTTCCAAAATCCTAAAAGACCCTTCTGAATGTAAAAATATGCTACATAATACTGCACAATGAAAATGTGTTTTAATCCATTTCTCAAGTTCAGACTGATGATTAATTCATGATCATTCATTCATCGCAACAAAGATGTTAGCCTATACAACACCATCTTTCTTTGGATTAGGAAATAGAGTAGCAAGAATAACAGGTCTTTAAAGATTCTTAAAATACCTCCAGACCTGAGGTGAGTCTTGTTTAACAACCTTTATCATGTACTGACAATACATGCAAGGTACAGACTGAAGTTTACTGAGTCCGGGTCCTGCTGTGGTCATTGAAGTAACAAGCTTCCTTATTTCAGGTGAGTGGATGTGGATCGATAACAATGTTGTGGACTACACCAACTGGAAAACAGGGATGCCAAAGTCAGACTCATGTGTAGACATCAATTCTGAAAGTGGACAGTGGAGTACAAACACCTGCAGCAGATATAAGTCTTACATCTGCAAAACAGCCAAAGGTAAGTTTAATCAGCTTCCATGTAGTTTTAAAAAGACCAACCAGTCATTTACACTAGAGTATTTATTCTCTTTTTTCAGTTATTACACCTACAGAAAAGCCGCCATCAGCTGGTAAGTTATTTTTTTATCAAAGGTATATATTTAATATGTTTAAAACCCAAGTAATGTCACCGTTAATACTTCTTCCTGTTTTGCCTCTGCAGCCCACGTCATTATAGAACCTTCTCATGGGTCTGGTGGCATCACTGTGGCTATAGTACTAGTCGTAATCGCCATAGTTGGACTTGGTGCCTTCCTACTCTTCCGTAAACGGATACCCGCTCCTGTATTAGGAGAAAGCACCTTCGACAACAAGTTATACTTCACCAATCCACTCCGAGCCCATGTAGACACCAAGGGTCTGGTGGCAAACATAGAGCAGAATGAACATGCCTGAAGACACAAGATCAGTGGTAATCAGCACTATGGAAATGATATGATCAGAGATTTTAATCTAAAGTCTTTAACTTGGATCACTTTACTGGGAACTGAATCTCAACCGAACCTATTGGTGTTCTTGCATTTAAAGAGGACTGGATCAAAGATAATGATTCTGGATTATTATATAATATTTCATACAAGCACTGGCTCTGCACTAAGCAAATTATGGACAAGATAATAGAAGTGAACAATCTCTAACAAATTTTACATGATTATGTGATTTGTGAAATGTGTACAGATTATTTTTACTTTTACCAATCAACATAACCAAAGACATTTGTAGACCAAACACCAGTTAAAATCAAGAAAGGTGAATATGTTTTATTAATTCAATTAACCAGTTTTTCTCAACTGGGTTGCTTGTTATCATTGGGGGCTCTATGGGCTGCTCATCAGCCTATTTCTGGATTATGACATTGTAAATAGATGCTCAATAAAAGAAATTAAATGAACAAAACTGCATTGCTCTCTTTTTTGCACTTTTTTCTTTTTCTTCTGAACATAAACAGAGCAACAATGTTTAACCATGATGTGATGCAGCAAGACATATAAAAGTGACTAAAAACTGTTTTAGAAGAAAAGAAGAAAAACAAAGCCATGCTAAATGGTAACATCAGCATGCTAATGTGTGCACAATGACAAGTTGCTGATGTTTTGGAGGTACAGTATATGTTCACTGTCTTAGTCCACCCTGTTAGCATGCTGACATTGGCTAATTAGCACTGGAGGCTGAGCTTAGTCCTCACTGTATTTAGTCATCAATTAAAAGTCAGGGGGTCACCAAAGTTAATATAAGTCACCCTGAAGGGGACATTAATGTTTGTACCAAATTCCATTCCAACCCTCAAAAACATTGACCTGCTGGTGACGCTAGATGAAGGTCAGGGGATCAAAATCATAATTAGGGTTTGTCCTCGAGGGACCATACATCTCTGTACAGAATTTCCTGGCAATCTATCCAGTAATTGTTGAGATATTTCAGTCTGGATTGACCGTAATGAACCAACCCACCAAGTGACAGACCATCGTTGCCATCACTAGGGCGATGCTGCTATAAATACCAACTCTTCTTCGATTTATTAAAGATGTAATCTCTTCATACCCACAGTCATTATAGGATAACTTGCTGATTGTCAGGCTCCTGAGTAAGAGTGAGATAAGGATTTCTACCAACAATACTGTGGAAACTTTTTGGAAACTGTTGTTGTTTGGCCAACTTTAAATGTGACAGTGTGATCAAGGGAGAGGAGCATCATGTCTCTGTGTCATTGTTGCAGTATTTCACACACCTTCTCACAAACAAGACCCCTTCTATAATGACTAGATAGCTGTTAATGACGGAAAGGCATATGACCAGATTATTAAATGTCAGCCATATATAATAGGTAATTTAAAATGTAAATAAACATGTCGTGGAAGGTTGTGAAAATATACATTCGTACACATTTTTTGTACATACAGAAAAATATAATTAGAACTGATCCCAACTGTGATTTTTATTTAAAATCTTATATGATTAATGCTGATTTTAATTTTTTTTTTTTGTAAATATTACTCGCTCAGGCATCAGCCATTCAATCACCCCTACCCGCAGCAGGCCACCCCCATCACCTAATGTAGAAAATGAGGCAGCGTTCTCCATGGCAACCACAGCTCTCCAAGGCTGTCGCGGCTAATCCTCAGGAGCTTACTCAACTCTTACTTCTCGTAAGAGGGTTTTACCAGCAGCACCCATGCCCAAGAATTCTCCCCAAACAGTCACCGGATCTTCTGTTTATCCAGCCGGAGGAGGACAACAAACCTAGTTGCAGCAGCTGAGAGGAGCAGAGGGGAGAACGGTAGGTTCATCCGGTAAGCCTTTTTTTTCATCTATTCCATCTCAGTACTGCTGCAGCTTTTGTCCTCTTATTGCTTGGTCGGTTTGACCTGCTGGGTGAACAGTGTGGGCGGATGTTGGAAAGTGTTGCGAGAAAGCTTGGCATGTTTTTGGGCAGTATGTTTGATCTTTGATGACTCAGAGATCATGCAGAATAAGAAACCCCTTTGATATGAACATCCCCAGTGCTTTATGCATGGGGGTGGGGAGGGGGGAGATCTGGGGATTGTAGTCAACATGCTACATGTACTCACTCATACCAGCTCCTGTCTTGTTTCTGAACAACTGATGCTGCAAAAAAAGGTTCAGTATTTAGACCATAATGAAGACTTTCTTAAAACTAGGATACAAACTGAACGGCTGCAGCATTTCTAGCACTTTAAGAAAACTTTTTTTTAGATCTCTGTGAGAGCCTTTGCTTAGCGGTAATTATAGCTTTTCCCTAGTCCCTAATTTTCCCCAGTACTAATTATTTTCTCAACTGTCTCCCCCTTCATGCCCCCTTCTCCCTGCCCCTGTGCTCTCTCACTTGCCTGCACTAATCCTTTTGTTGTGGACTGAGGGGCCCAGGCTTTGGCTGACCGTTCGGCACTGTAAGGGTTGGTTCAGCTGAGGGGTGCCCCCCAAGCCCTCCTGTCCTCCACCAGATCAGGCGTACCTATTATTAACACCTCCCACAGCTCTTCTTCTCTAGAAGCTTTCTGTTCTCTCTTCTTGTTCACCTTGATGCAAACTTCTCTCTCAATTTGCTTGTTTGTGTTTTCTATCCATCGTCTCCTTGTTGTCTGAAGTCCTAAGCCAGTCGTGGGAGCTTGAGGGAGTCGGACGGCCTCGGTAGGAACATGAACTCCAGGAGCACTGCTCCCGCTTTGCTGCTGCTGCTTCTTTGTCTGCTGGGGAGGGTGCAGGAGGTGAAAGGTCAGGAACAGGAGTACCTGCAAGAGGCTCTCAGGGCCTTGGACATGCCCCTGGGTACCGACAACGAGCCACAGCTCCAAAAGAACCACACCGGTATCCTGATCGCCACACTCCTCCGGGCAGTGCACTGTGCAGAGCGGCTTGGCACCTCTCAAGATGCCTGTGACAGAGTAAGGTGTACATCTTAATTACTAGTTACAAGTTAATTACAAGTATCACTTGATGATAAATTGAACCACTTTTACATCCATATGCTAAGTACTTTTTATGTATTCATCCCATTGCTGCTTGCTTATTCTAAGAAACATACTTGTTATGACTGGAATGTGAGTGAATGTGGAGGCTTAAGTCCTTGACCTTTATGGGGCATTCATGCTGAGTGGCTTTAGACATCCCTCAGTTTGACATAATACACTCCATAGAGTGGAGTTAGAGGTACTTCATATGTTTGTGCAGGTGGGCTGACAATAGGATTATGTGTGTGTCAAGGCTTGAAAGTAAAGAGCCAACTTTTTACTTTTCCTCATTGTTTGCAGAATAGTCTGCTCTTTCTAACAATGAATAGTGCTTCACTGTCTCTCTTAAGCATCTATATTTTTTTGTTTGTGGGTCTAATTGGGTTTGTATTCTCTTTACCTAAACATAAACAGCAGCACAAAGCCTTTTCTCAGAAGCAAAGTACAGTGTAAGCCCGGAGAAAGTAGGCCTTTTGTCAAGCTGACTCTTCGCCACCGCATGTTGACATGTAAATCTAATGTCACATACCCTGCTATTTTGCGACTTTATGTCCCTAAAATCTGCCTGAAATCTTCTTCTTGCGTGTTCCTGTTCTTCTTACAGTGCCTGACACCAGATGTAGCTCTCTCTGTTCTAGAGGATGATGGGAAGGCTTACTTCACTAAGGAGGAGTACCAGCGGATCTCCACTGTTCTGCTGTACTACATAATTAACTTGCAAGATCTTTGTGTGTCAAATGCCGCCTCTCCTGCCTCCCTTTCCTCGTCCTCTTCCTCCTCATTTGGGAACTATCAGTTCTACCTTTTGGCCCTCATTAATCTACACCCAGCTGAGGATGACCGCTTCCTATCATCCAGTGAAACAGAAAGTATTCTGCAGCTCATCAACCAGCACTACGACCCCTCTAATCAGGATACATCATCTGATTCGGAAGTACGTTTCTTTTTCTTATCTGAGATATATCCTGTCTCAGCAGGTGCACATTACACATATGATCATTTCACTTTTCATCCCACAGTGTATTGATGCTACTGCCCTCCTTGAAGATGTTAACGTAAAAGAAAATCCAGGTGCTGGTGTGTCTTCTGTGCCCAAACTGGCCGCAGCCATCATCAGCCACATACTGCAGGGCCACTGTTTCAGACGGAAGAACCTCCCGTCTCCTGCTTTCTTTACCGACTATATCTTTCATTCCCTTAATCGCACAAGTAACCTGCAAATAATAGGTAAGTTCAAGAGCAGAAACGCACATTTAAGCAGACTGACAGTTGCTTTTTATTTAAATACCTGGCTCTTTAGCTTCTAAATGCTCCACTATTCACTAGCTTGTCGCAAACTGTGCCTACCTCCTGTTTGGTGCAGAGAAGGTAATGGGTTAATCGAAAAATAGCTGCCTGTTGCTGCCAAAAGTGACACTATGATAGCGCAGTGAGTGAACCAAAACAGTGAAGATGGGGGCCATAAAACCAAAAGAATGAGCTGAAAGAAGCTATATATCTCCGTGAAGCTGAGGGGAATCTCAGAGTCGGGTGGTAATTCTCTGTGGGTTCATCACTACGAGCAACATCTTTAAAAATTACACAAAGCCATTTGATCCATTGCCGTTGTAAAAAAAATGTATTTCAGCTGCTTCAACTCTTCAGTCTCTTCTTAAAATACATTCTCATTTCAAGGTGTTTCATCTCACTGCCCCTGACTAGGAGGAATGAGTCATCATGCATAAAAGAGCGGCTAACCCTCCTGAAAGATTTTCATTAATCTGGGTTTTTAAAAGAGGGAGGTTACAGATGTGTCATTGCTTCTCAATGCTGCTAAAAATAAAATACAGTCATCTTTTATATGAAAAGTGCAAAAATTAATTTTTAAATACAGGCAATTTGCTGGTTCAATCCAACATCTCAGTAGAACTTTAATACTGGCTACAGCCATTAATGATCAGTCATCTGAGTGGAACTTCTGCTCTATTTTAATCTCATCTGCATAAGGTTGTATTTTGTCCAAACAGACGCTGATTTATTTGGTTGAATCTGACCTGGCACATAGTATCATTATGTATATTTTTTGTTGCTCAGACTTAGAGGAGTTGCTTCATCAGCTGGGCGTAGGACAGGAAGGAGTTACACACTCTCACGACAGGAAGAGGCGGAGCATCACAAGGAGATCACAGAAAGGGGCGGGGCCTCCGCTGGATGGTTGCAACCATGAAACCGGAGGACTGAGGCAAGACTGGGCACAGGTGAGGCTGGGGCAAATGTTCAATTTAAAAGAGAATATTCTGTACTTAGAATCACAGGAAGCAAGACAGCATTGCTGTAAGCTGCATGCAGACAGTGTAAGGCTTGATATGAAGAGCCTCCTACTCATCCACAAATTTGTCTTTTCCTTTGAATCTAATCAGGTATGTTTTTCAGCCAATCAGCTGGTGGATATTTTTGCTCTGAATCCTCATTTGCCAATTTCCAAGGAGCACTTCAGACAAATTTGCCCAGCCATCATTCAGCAGTTGCTAGGCAATGCCTGTGAGTCTGCAGAGCAAAAGAGAAGAGGATCTCCGCCCACTGCTCTTGAGAGTAAGACATTTTACCTCATCGTTTCCCTACAGTCACCAATGAATACATTATTTAATTAGTTATTGATTTGTGACTCTTATTTTACTAAATTGAGCAGGACCTTTTCCATTAATCTAGCACAGGAAAAACTATTCAGTTAAATTAGTTACGAAGTCAAGTCACATTCTTTGGTTTATTTGGTTTGTTTGCACAATTCAAACATTATAAAAGCCAAAAAGACACACGTACATACAGTACAATAAATCTAAATTGATAAGTGCAAAAGTAGTCCTTGTAATCTTCAGAATCGGGTATATCTTTGTTTTATTTTGTGTTTTTATCAGACAGAATTTATAATCTTTATATATTTGCAAAGAAAACAATGTGTATTAACTCAAAACTCTCCTCTCTTCAGAGTATGGCTACAGCACGGCCGCTGTCCTCCTCATCACGGTGGGCTCAATGCTCGGTATCTGCCTCATCTTCTTCAACTCCTGCCAGGAGACCTACAACCTCATCCTGCAGCTGTTTGTGGGCCTCGCAGTGGGAACCCTCTCAGGAGATGCACTCCTGCACCTCATACCACAGGTATAGGACACAGAACCACTGCACCATCCTCTGTAACTGTGAGTCAAGCGACATACATGTATAAAGAGACTCTCTGCTGACTGTGGAGTAAATGTCTAATTGTGTTTCTTTTTGTCTCCTTTGGAGATCCTTGGCCTCCACGATGACACTCACAGTCATGCTGACGAACACTTTACAGAAGGAAAGGAGTATCTGTGGAGGATTCTGGGCATGATCGCAGGGATCTACGGCTTTTTCCTAATTGAAAGAATCTTTTCCTTTGTGGTCCCTTCTCACGGCCATGTAAGAGTATTGTTTTATGTTGCCTTTATCTATTTGATGACATAAAAATGGCACAGATACTGTGGCAAATCACTCAAACCATATTGTGTCAAAGGGGAAGGTTGTGGCTGATTTTCTTTATCTAGCCAGAGGCCAGAGGAGAGTTTTCCATGAACAAGCAAGTTTCTGCCAAGTCTGAACTTTTGCAGAGCTGATTGTTGAGCGACAGAGGTCTCATGACTTTTTTTTGTCTGCAGGGTCATGCAGAGCTCAACTGTAATGGTCCGTCACAGAGAGGCAAGTCCATCTCCACCATACAGCTGGTGAGTTTGTATCTGTGCTCTGATTCCCCTCATCACCCCTGATATTTACTTGTAGATGAGACTCAGGGACAACGCATGTCACCAGAACCAATTTTTTAATGCAAAATTCTGACTTGTTTTTCTACAGTAGGAATGCAATTCTTTAAGAGCTTACAGGGAAGAATATATGCCTACACATATTCTAGAAGAAGAAGACGGCAACAAGTGCAGCTGTACAGGTGTTTAACTCACCAAGCTTTCGTGCACAGTGAAGCCGTCATCAGCTCTTTCCGCTGTCTGTCTTTCCTCTTCACTGTGAAGAAAAAACCCATTAAGAGTAATATATTAATGTAATCCGCAAGTATAAAAGAAACTTCAAGGAACAACTTGAATGCAGGCATTTTTTTATGCAAAGCATAGCAATTCACCTGTTCTATCTACGAAAATACATCGGAATGGATCGGGACTCAAGCATTTACTCGGTATTATCATCTTCAAAGACCTCATTTGAATTCTGAACACTATTAATTATCTAAAAGTGTAAATTGTTACAGTTGGGACAGCACTTGGATTGGCAGAAACTGGATGTTTCAACCATTTTCAAACATGTTGTGTGCACGTATTATAACTAACTTAAGTCAGTGGGAGGTATGTCTTGTGCAGTTGTCTTATTGTAGCTGGTAATTTATTGGTTATTGCGACTATAAATATAAATTCAGTAATTATAATCTCACCTTTTTCCGTCACTGTCAAAAAACTACATTTTAATTCTTACTTTGTGCAACAAAGTTTACTAGGCTCCAAAAAACACGAAGCAGCTGTGGTAGCTCTCAACTAAGGTAAACATTGTATTCTATGCTTCACCACTGTCGAGTTATTAAAGTCAACATGGTTTCATTTGCCCCAGTGAGGCTTCACTCCCACACTACTCCTCCTCCCAAGCATCAAGAAAGCACTAATGTACTTGTTATACACAGTGGAGTACTGCTAGAGGGCACTGTTGACAGGTCAGCAAATGGTCAATTACGGCATCATTTTGTCCGACTTTTTTGTTGACACACATACACGACAGGATAAAACAGATGTGACAATGGCAAGACTCAATGAAATGATTTATCTATGCACACACTGCAGATTGAGGATAGCATGAATCAACTGAATCAATGTTCACATTTAAAAAAATAAATAAAAAAATTCACTCAAATCAATTTTCCTGTGCTGCTCTTATATAACAGGCGATGAAGAGTGGTGTAGGAGGGAGTGAAGGAACAGAGTATGTAGGATGTTGGAGAATGAGAAGTATTGAATCATTCAGAATGCACTTCACGCTCGCGTACAGTTGAATAAATACTTAAACTGTAACATTTTCGGACACAGAGATGTTTGGACACAGCGATGGGTCACACACGTGGAAACCAGACTTTTTTTTTCTCCAACCACTCCTGTTACATAAAAATATCCTGTCTCATCCAGCTCCCTTCATTTAACTAAATTAGAATCAGAGGTTAAGAAAGTTCATCAATCTGTACTGTGAATAATTATCTGTATCCTACAGGGACCTGTGGATGACTTGGAGTGTACAGAAGTATCTCCTGAACACTCAGACATAAGGAGGCCTTCACATCAGAGTAAGCTCTGTCAATATAAGCTGCACAGTACAGTCGAATGTGATGTGCTTTGTAATTAGTCGCCCGGCATGACAGAGCAATTGTCCCGGTCTGAGGATGAACTGTAACGACACAGGCTCCCTTTGTGTTCCCAGGACGAGGGGTTCCCCTGCTAGCTGTGATGGTAATCGTGGGAGACAGCCTCCATAACTTCGCCGATGGCCTGGTTGTCGGGGCGGCCTTTTCCTCTTCTGCCGAGACCGGCATGGCGACCACCGTGGCCATCCTGTGCCACGAGATCCCGCACGAGATGGGTGAGAGGTCACGGTTCTTACTTTGGGAACGCTTTTTTTGTTGTTTTGTTTTTATGGCTGAGGCCAGGAAACACTCTGCTTGACTGACGACTTATCTTTTTTTCTGCTTTCTGTCTCAAAGGGGACTTTGCAGTGTTGCTCAGCTCTGGGCTCTCAGTGAAGACTGCTGTGCTGATGAACTTCCTGAGCGCTCTGACGGCCTTCATGGGCCTCTACATCGGACTGTTTGTTTCCTCAGAGATGGAAGTGCAGCGGTGGATCTTCGCTGTTACTGCTGGGATTTTCCTCTATTTGTCACTGGTAGAAATGGTAAGGGAGCCTTAGCCTTCTTGTTGCAAACAAATCCATGAAATCCAATGAAAAAACAATTTATTCACCCTGGTATAGTTTATTCATCTGTGCCATAACTACAAAAACTATACAATAAGCCACACCATTGAACTAGGTATCATTATACTTCGTTATGACTGTGAGAACTGTATTTATTTTGACGTGAACACTGATTCCCAACCTTGTTACTCATATTTGAGTAGCTTTTGCTAACTATTCAATTGAATGATTTAGCCTCTTTAGAAATTACATATGTGTGACCTGTTTTTAAAGATCTTTAGTAGTAAATAAAGAGTGCCATGGACAATGTAGGAAGTCGCTATTAATATTGAGAGACAGACTATCACATTGTTGATTTTCATAATGCCAGCCGTTGCAATTTGTCTACTAAAACTGTTAATAATTTCGTTTTACTCTTCATTTCTATCTTTTTTTTAGCTTCCAGAGATGAATCGAGTGCAGACCGACAGACCGTGCCTCATGTTTCTCCTCCAGAATCTCGGCCTATTGATGGGTTGGGCCTGTCTTCTGCTCCTCGCACTCTTTGAGCATGAACTCAAACTCTAAATGTGTACGGGACTCATCTCTTCACGCGGGTTTGAGCTGAAACAAATGTTTTTTACTTTCCATTGTCTTATCATCTCTTTGCTGTGTATGCAACTAGGATGTTTTAGCAATGAGTGAGTATTTATGATGTTGTAGTCTCAGCACTGGATGATAAATGTACGTTAGCTGTATGAATCCTCTTTTTTTATACTTTATGATTTATTTTTGTATGTTAGGTATCATGGGTGCCTGTATCTGGAAACTATTATACTTACTAACGTATTTGGCAGCATCAGGTACAATTGTGCATATCTGTTGTACTGTGAAATACATATATTGCCTCAGACAATCAAATCATTTTGATTTTAAAGTAAATTCTCACTAGCAAAATATAAAGTATTGTAAATCTACCTGCTCATTTGTGTCTTTATACTGATGAGGGAAAAGTAAGTGTGGGTTTTTTGTTGATTTTATACAATGTTTTCTTTTCTATTTTAACTGGGTAGCTTTATTTTACAGGTCTATAATTTTCTGCCTAATTTGTGAGTATTTACCAAGAAGTTTCCTGAAAGAACTGTTAAATTTGTACGGTGTTCATTTAGTTAACACTGTAGTGATTTAGTATTTCCCCTTCTGTGAACCGGAGGACTCATAAAAGACACATTTTAAGAAGATAACCTGTCTTTCATAAGACCCTCTTTACGACACCCAGTTTATTTTTAAAGGAAAATCACATTTTCCTTATTATATGTGCCTAATTACATTAGACTTGCTTTCCAGGAAACTAGGAAATTGTGCATTTAAAATATAGCATTATCTTAATTTGAACGTATAAATATACATAACCTGACCGGCTTAACGTGAAACACTTATTTTAGTCGCAAAGAAAGGACTAATACTTCTTTGTAAGGCACAAGCTGCTCTAAAATACATTTATTTTTGAAGCTCTGTTTGGAGAAGCATTGCTCTCGTTCAGCTTCTCATCTCAGAGGCATTGTTCTTTGTTTTTGAGGCCTCTCTGTGATCCAATATGAGGGCACTTCCACCCACCTGAGCTACTTGTTCTCTTCATCCACCAACCTGGATGACTAATGTTTGGTGTACAAGACAGAAAACTCTGGAGCGATCCGGCCCACACAGCGCACACGCTCTTTACTGGCCAGAGTGGGCCTGCAAAAGGAGGTGGACGATGAAGAGAATGTGATAAATACATCAGAACAAGGAGATAAATGAAACACAATAAATCAACTTATTTGTACATAAAATTGGATTTGTGATATCGAAAGAATGAGTGGGCTTAAGAGAATTTTCTTCTCTTTTTAATCAGCTTGCTGTGATTAAATCCTGGTGTTCTCGGCATCAGCGTATATCTGTGAAATTTGAACAAACAGCTGCCAAGCACTCGCATTATTGGCGTTGGGGATTAGTTGCATGATGATTATGTTAATTTCCCTTTCTAAGCTCCAAGTGGAAAGTCAGTTACGTTGACAGTGTCATGAGATTATTCGACTTTCACATCAGAAAAAGCTGACACCATTTATTGTGACTTCCCGAGTGATGTTCAAACAATAGCAGGAAGTCCATTGCATTTTCTCTTATTCTAGCATTTCTGCTGTTCTTTTGGAAATGCCAACCCCTTTGGCATTTCCAGGAAAGCTTCAGGCCTACTGGTTTGTGTGTAAATCTGCTCTTTCGCACCAAAGAGGCATTTTTTTGGCATGCCTGTGTCTTTTCAAGGCAACTGCCGCCAGGATGGAGGAAGGAAGTGCTCTTTATCTGGGCCATGCTGGTGTGAACACTGAGTATCCTCACTTGCTCTTCAGAGACCCTGTCAGGAGAGCAGTTCAGCTCCAGGGCCATCGGGTCAGCAGAACACACAGAAACAATGGGGAAAGCTAATAGAGAAACAAAACAGGAAATATAGAAGGTTTTTTTCCCTTTGATTTGATCTGACTGAAAATAATGCATTGCACCTGCACCTTGTTATTACACAAAGCCACGTGAGATCGACTTATAGATACCGGTAGTGTGACATTATAGTCGCAATCACAGGACTTGAAACTGCTAATCAGCTGGACATCCTTGTGTCATTATGTCTCTAGTTTAAAGGGGGACTCAATTTAGTAGCAGCAACAGTGGCTGAGATGTCCAAAAAGTTCCTAAAAAACACTGGATCGTACATTTCCTATACTGCCACTCATGACCATCCGTGCCTGGTAGAGGCCCACATCCTTCAAACTCCATGCAGTCTGTAACACTGGCGCTCTGTTAAAAATGTCCTCCGAGACCCAGGCCCGAAATAAACCTAAAGACATCACTGTGAGATCATCTATGGTTGATTATTTCAGACTTTGGAGAGCCCCCTCCACAGCCACAGAGGACATTAAAACAACTGTTTTTAAAGGTACAGCAGTACTACTCACGACTGGTACACTGACTTTGATGTGTAAAATCAGTGGAGTGACCCTTTAAAAATGCAAAAGCACATGAAGCCACTAGAGGGCAATAATGAATAACAAAACTTCAGAGCTGTCTGTGGTAAAAAGTGGTCTGAGGAAGGGGTTCACCTCAGCTGCAGGATGTGGTTGGAAGTGTGTACAGAGCTGTGCATCACAGAGACAGAGAGGCACTATAGTGTAAGTAGCTGCAGTACCTTTCCTTCACCTCTGTGGAGAACACACCTGAACATGTGCAAACTGCTACTGCCTTAGCAAATGTACCACTTAAATCTAGAGCTGAAACATTAAGTTAATTCATCTAGCAAATGAAACAATTAGTCAATTAATCTATGTGAAATATTCCCTGGTTGCAGTTTCTCAAATGTGATGATTTGCTGCTTTTTTTCTGTTTTATATCAGTTTTTGATTGCTGGTCGGACAAACCAAGACATAATTAATTGTAAAAAACAATATCTAGATTAATCAATAACTAAAATAAGTAGTTGTGGTGCTACTTTAATCCATTAATTCAAACTGTAAATGACCCAATGGCTCTGTTCTATCCACATATGTCAATAAGCTATAACAACAATGTGACAAAACAAGGACTCTAAAACCAAAAGAGCTAAATTGAATTATTATTAATTAAGTTTGTGTTTTCACATAATATTTAGAATGTCAGGCCCAGTATATGTAGGACTAGACCCTAAACCACCCTGTACGTGATTTCTTTTTCCTCATAAGAGATCCAGCATTATATTCTTCTGCTTTCAATCATCTATCAATCTCCTTTTCACCTAGAAAAGACTATTTTCACTAAAATGAGCTGAACTTTAGTGTCATTTGGGTTCAAAGTCTATAGTGGTGTAGTATTCAGATCATTTACTAAAGCAAATATACCAATACTGCACTGTAAACAAGTAAAAACCCTGCACTGATATGTTACTTAAGTAAAAGTATGTGAGTATAATCAGTAAAATGTACTTAAAGGTCCAGTGTGATTTAGTGGCATCTAGCGGTTGAAGATTGCAACTAACTGAACACTGCTCACGTCTGTATTTGACCACCTGAGAATGAGACAAGCTGAAACATAGCGGTTCAATATGGTGGATAAAAACGGGTCATTCTCAGGTAACAAAAACACAATAATTTATATATTCAGGTGATTTGAAAACATAACTATGAATATTATATTATATGTCTGCCAATAGATCCTCCTAAATGTTACACACTGGACCTTTATTTAAAATAAAAGTACTCAATTAAGAAAAATGTCCCCTGTGACTGTTGTAGTAGTAAATATTGTATATGATTCGATTATTAATACTCTTCCATTAATGTAAAAGCAGAACTTTATTGTTGTAGTTGGTTGAAGCGGAGCTCATTTTTAACTATTTTGTGTAGGACTGCATCTAATTATTAAATTCCATGTGGATTAATCTGCTCATTATTTAAACAATTAATCAATTGATTGTGTTTTTTTAAAAACAACCTCAAAATCATTAAGTTGTACTTGTATCCTTTTGGGAGTTTAATGTATTTAAAAAAACATCCTATTTCATAAGCTATTCATCTTTTGTGTACAATGCAAAAGCAAAAAGCTAAATATTAGTGAAATGGCATCAAAATAATACAATATTTGTCCATTATTGTCACTTTAAGGTAAAAAAAAAAAAAAAAAGCTTTAATAACCCAGCGTATATTATTATTTTCAGACATATCTTCTGCTTTAAAGCTGTTATTCATCTCCATCCCTGTGTACTGTGTGAAAGGCAGAGGTGTTGGCGTTGGATGAGGGCGCATGGAGCAGGAGAGCTCTCAGCCAGTGTGGGTAGGAGGGCACTGATGAGGAGGCTCTGTGAGGAAGGCTATAATATCCGTGAATTCAAAATCATCATCATCATCATCATCATCATCAGGAAACAAGAGAGAGGGAAAAAATACTGCTTCACAAACCTCTTCCGCTCAAGCTCCTCCTTTAAACTCTCCTGTCTCAAACTTGGAAGATTGGCGGTGCCAGCTCTACCAGGAGCGGCAGCAGCAGCGGGGGGAGTAGCGGTGTGTTTGGGTAAAAAAATAAATAAAAAATGCGCTTTATCTTCCGTGTTGAGCACAGCTGGGGCATCTGTCCGAGCCGAGGGGTATCGCTGAACATGAGCTGTTATCAAATGGTGTAATGGTCGTCAGTAACACTCCGAAAACAAGAGCGGCAACACCTCTGGACAAACACATGGACTCGCTGGAACATCCGATGTTACAAGTAAGTTTAATTACATTTAAATTAGTTTTAATTTGAATTAAGCCTGTTAATAGTTGTGTAAAGTCAGTGTGAGGGAGAAACGGGGTAACTTTAACTCACCTGCCCCTCAACCTGTCCGCTTCCTCGCGCCCATTGGTGGCTGCTAGTTTAAATAAATAAGTGTTGATTACGTACGCCGCTAGTGTTTTAAGGTTAGTCTACTACTCATATAAAACCAAATACCTAAAAATATAAGAAAGATTTTAATATTTATCTTGGTTGTTTGTGAGATTTTTCTCGATTTAAAAAACAAAAATCCAGGTGAAACCATTTTAATCAAGTTGTAGCATCCTTTAGTAAAAACAGTGATAACACAATGTCCAAATATACTATTACAAGTAACATTCAACTTACTTAACGTTACCTATCAGAAGTACTAATTATGAAGACTTTCTTTCTTGTAGTGTTTTATTATTTATTGGATTATTGATATGTTAGTGTCTCTA